GGGTTGTCGGGACATGCTAAGCCCTGGGCTAGGCCGGGGGTGGAATGGTGAGCTGGAGCCAGTCCCTGGCTGCATGGAGCTCACAAATGAGTTGAAAAGAGGKCTTCGGTGTGTGAAGTGCTGTGATATGAGTTCAGAGGAGGTGGTAGTGCCCCCTAGGAGGCTTGGCTCAAACTACTYTCAGAGGGACAAGAGGACTTTTTGAAGGCAGGGCAGCCACACCACTGGGGGAAACATGAGTGGACACAGGGCAGGAGGCCTGGGGTGCAGCAGAGGGTGCCCTGGGCAGAGGGTTGGCTGTGTAAGGGCTTGAGGCAGGAAAAGCCCCATGACAGGGAGCACCTGTGGTTCAGCAGTGCCAGGGAGATGGGTCCAGAGATGTGGGCAAGGATGAGATCTGGGAGGCCTTAGGAGTGGGTGAGTATAGGAAACTGGGTCTTTGTCCCAGAGCAGTGTGGTGCGATAGAAGAACCCTGATCACCAGCGAAAGCATTAGGACCTCCAGGCAGGCCCAGCGAAACACTAGTTCAGGATCTGGAGGTATACAGAGAAATACAAGCTGGGCCCCTAACTTCAAGAGCTCATTGATGCGCATGCACATCATGTGGACTGGCTGGGTAGCATGACCAAGCGGTGTGTCTTTTATGCTCATAGCACACAGGCACTGAGATACAGAGCAGGGAAGGGCTTCACAGTGATGGGGTATCCATTCTGTCAGGGTCTGATCACCTAACATCTGGCTTCTTATTTAGTCTTTGAGGCAACWACAGGGCACCTGTCACCATCCCCTTGTTACAGATGAAAAGACCAAGGCTCACAGAGCATGACTTCAGTGTCATATACTGCCGCAGTCTGGCTGGGCACAAAATCACGAGCCACCACACACCTTGTAGATTCAAACAGCAACTCTTTATTCTCGAACTCACACCGGCACTCTACACATGTTCTGGGGAAATCCACTCTCCACCAGTCTCTGAATCCCCAATACTCTCTGAATCCTGAGAGAACTCAACCGGAACTCAAGGAGCGGGCACGCCTGGAACCGCCCTAAACCCAAGGAGCGGGATATTCCCTAATCCCAGCAGGATACACCCTAAACCTGGATCCGCCCTGGTCCTTGAGCAAGGTCACCTTACATGCAATGTCACTGCAAATGACTGGGTCCAATATGGAGAATCCTTCCTCTAAGCAACATTGGGTAGGCTGACAAAGAAATTGCCATGCGTCATTCCTACTTGGCAATGGCTCTCAGCAATATACCAGGACAGGGATCTTTCTCCTCCTCCGTGTAGCCTTCCCTAAGTGTGGCCGAGAGGTTATGGGAAAATCCTCATGGAGGAGGAAGGGCTGCCAAGTCAGAATGTTGTTCCATGTGTCCAGTGTCACCTCTTTGGCTGTGAGGTGCCGGATAAGAGGCTGGCATTTAGGCAGTAGGGGAGGTGTGGGGGATGGTCAGGGATCAGGATACACTGTGTCTCTGAGAGCTTGCCCTTTGGAACCTTGGCATGGAGTTTTGTATCTGCTTTGTGAGAAGAGCAGCAGCATTTGAAAGGATGAATTCAGTGAGTAAAACTGAGTAAAGGATATCATCTCAGTTCTTTCCAAATTTGAGGATGCTCTGCTGCCAGTAATAGGTGACAGGGTCTGCTTGGGGAAATTCCCAAGTCTCCAATATGAATAGTCAGGAATTGCACACAGTGGGAATGTTGGCTATTTGAATTGGAAATGGGTAACTGACATGCATCTAAAATAGCTCCAAGAAAAATAGAACAGGGCCAAGTTGTGCAAGCRCGTGGGTGAGCCAGGTCTGTGGAAGTCCTGTCAAGAGTCGTACTTTCTTGAATGCCACAGATGATTCCGGGGCTCCTGAGAAAGCTGGAGCTGAGCCTAGCAGCTGTCCATACTAGCCCACCATTGAGCCAGAGGTCCACTGGGAATGACATCCCGAGCTGTATTTACTGAGCCTGGCTCACTGGTGGTAGACAATGAGTTGTGAAATTTGGACATCTTCTAGAATCTAGCTCCAATACTGTGCCCTGTTGACCTCAGAAAAGAAAACCAGCTTCTAAGATTAATCAATGGATATTAATGACTGATCAATGAGCATAATTAAGTAAACAGGGAGAGCCACGCTAGAGAGTTTCTGGCGTGGGCTTTCTGAGGTTCTCTCTATACACACCCTACCCTCTCATTCGTGGTTGGTTGAGAAGGTACTCCAGGGAAGGGGCACTTCAGCCCCTGAGAATAATACCAAAGACCTGGCATTCATGGCCCATCCTGAGTGATGTTACACTTGGACTTTTCCTCCTGCCTGTCTGACTGTGTTTCACCCTACCACTGCGCCTCCTATCCCATTCCACTCCAGCCCAGTGCGGATGCCCCTGGGTTGCCTTTTGGGGCGATGCCTGGTGCCTCCCATGTTATTCTTACCACCTCCCCTCCCACTCCTCCCTCTGRACTAACTGCAGCCAACACAGTGGCCTGTCCTACTCTTACCCTCCCAGATCTTTTAGCTAATCCCTCCCTCTGATAGAGATCTTCAGAAGAGGCCTTCCACACCCTCTCCCCAGGCGCCACCCTCCCACAGCCAGCATGCGTCACCATGGGGATGGGCTTTGTTGTTTGTCTCTGAAGTCCCCCTCCACACAAGGCCTCCCCTTTCCTCTGGCTCCAGTACTCCCTGGGGAAGAACAGATAGTCCTCCTGCCTTGGGCCAGCCCTCCTGGCAGAGGTGACTAAGCCACTCCTGAGCTTTCCCATCTCGAGGGGGCAGCCGGGATGTCCTGCAGCTGCAAATCCTGTTTCTGGAAATCTCTTGAGTTTTCTGTGTTTCTCCTCTGTCCTTTCAAGATCTCTGAGACTTGAACTATGTAGCTCTGAGCCCGAGYGAGAAGACACCAAGCAAGACTGATAGTGCTGAAAGATAGGAAGGATGAGTTCATCCCTGCTCCAAGCAGACCAAGACTCTGATCTCAATCTGGGGGCATTTGAAGATAATCCCCTTGCCCAGCTCATTCGGCCCATGTTATCCAATCTCTCCCGCATCCTCAGCTCGCCCACCATGTTTGCCTAGAGCAAGCTTTTCTGGCTTTATTTCCACTCGGAAGCTCTTCTTATATGTATCCTGGATGAGCTTGACCCTTACTATGTCTTCACATTTCTCCAGGGTCCAGATTTCCTGGCCTTCTACACTACGGGAGGCATCATGCTAAGACCTGGATTTGCTCTTTCGTAGTCAGGGACTGGCCAAGCCACCACACGTTTTCRAGATATTTTCCTCAGATATAAAATCAGCATCACAATACCTGCCTGTTCCATGAACCAAATGAATGAATGAATGTGAAGAAGCTCTATAAACCCTGAGGTAGCCCTTCCCAGAATGTTCTGCTGAACTCAGCTCTCTGGAGAGGTGTTAAACTTCTGAGGGGGAAAAGGAGTTTTAGGTCAGGTTTGAGGAAGATCAGTGTGAACAGAGTGGACCAGATTTCTTTACTGTAGACTTAGAGGTTTTAATTTGCCCATGTGCATGGCCAATCTCTAAGAGTGGGGTCTAAAATATAGCTTTGTCTCCAAACCACTTTTTCTTCGTGGACTTCTTATTAACAGCTTTTAGGTTACCCGTCTCCACAGAGCATAGCATATGTGAACATTATTTTTCCTACAAATAATCATGTTAGTCTTTCCATAAAATGTATTCCATCATTCAGGTTGCTAATCCTAGGTAGTAACCATTAATCAGTGCCTGGAAAAGTACCTTCAGTCTTTTCAGTGTTATGCTAGGTACTGAGTGAGGAGGGATCTGGTACTGAGGCCTCTGCAGACCCCAGCCTTAGCTCCCACCATCCCTGCCCCAGGCAGCTTGGCAAACCTTCTGTCCTATGTATACATCTTTTGTGTGCCTTCCCCTTGTCTTTGTCCCATCTTTCTCTCTGCCAAGGTACTTCCCTCCCATCTCTACCAACACAATTGTAGTCCAAATCTTCGCGTCTTAGCCCAAGCCCTGATTTCTCCATAGACGCTTTTTTAACCAAAGTAATGTGTTCTAGGCAGGAATACTGGCTCCTCAACTCTACTGTAAGCCCCTACAGAATGGTATTATTTCTATTTGCTGATTTTTTTTTCCCCAAACAAAAAACAGAATTCATTTGTGGGTTGATTGATTGGTATACAATCCCCAAACCATAGGACACACAGTCGTCCTTTGGGAACTGACATCTACACTGGCTATGGGTCCTTCTGAGCTGGGAAGTGAGCAGGAGGTTTTCTCACTTCATTCAATAGATACTTAGAACTGCTGGGAAGCCAAGGTTGGATAAGACTAGGTGCCTCCTTTAAGGAGTTTACAGTCTAGACAAAAGCATCAGCATGGAAGGTCAATGTATTGAGTGTAGTAGTGGCCAAAACACAGGAACATTAAATGAAGTCACGGTGAGAACAGATGGGGATCGAAGTGGGCTTCCCAGAAGACAATCCTGCCCCCAGACCATCCTACTGATAGACAGGATACCATCTGGAGCAGACATGGCAGGGTTATGGGGTCTGCCTCTACAGAAAAGAGAACTCTAAAGACTTTGTGGGAGGTGGATTCAAGTTTGTTACCTTGGTCCACAGCAAGGAAGGTCTTGATGGAGCCCAAGACTTATGGCAGAGGGACAAGTGGGTATGAGATGGAAGCTTTGCATCTCACTCTACCCAGACACACACACACACACACACACACACACACACACAGCCTGTGGGAATCCCACTTCCCTGCTTTTCCATCACACCCACACACCCCTTCTTCCTTCTCACCTTGATTCATTCTTCCTGTTTTCCTCCGTCACCTCCCGGTCCTGGGGCCATCCATCGTTACCTCATTGGAACAGTCCTGTGTCTGCTCCCAGTAGCTAGAGGCCTGCTTTGGTGAGAGGCTGGCCACCTCAATGCCCATTCCCCATGGGGGGGCCCTTGGGAGGAAGGTCAGCCTCCACTCAGTGTTTTTTCTTTTCTTCTTACAGAAAACCAAAAGAGATGTCAATAACTTTGACCAAGACTTTACTCGGGAAGAGCCGGTGCTCACACTTGTGGATGAAGCAATAGTGAAGCAGATCAACCAGGAGGAATTCAAAGGCTTCTCCTACTTCGGGGAAGACCTCATGCCTTGAGAAGCCTCCGCATACACGTGAAGTTTGCTGATGCTGTAAGGAGCGCTGAGAAGACCCTGTGTGCAGAGGCTCAGAAGATCTCGAACTATTTCTCCTCCCTGGAGCCCCAGTCCCATGTCCACTCTCTATTTATTGCATCCCCATACCCCAGGCCACCTCCTACCCCATCCCCCCCATATCGTCCTGGTGACCAGAAGACATTCTTGGTTCTTGCCCCACCAGGAACACAGACTCCAGTTGGGTCGGCAATTAGCTGTATAAGCTACCATGTTCAGATTGTCAGCAAGCCTGGTTCCACTCCTTAGGGGCTCCCGGCGGTGAAGCAACTTCAGTTCTTTTACCACAAAGGAAAAAAAAAAATCAAACAAGAAGACTCTGGCTCTGCCATTGGATGTAGAATCCTGACACCTCTTGCTTCTCGTCCCTCCTGTGCCCTGGCTTGACATCCCTGCCCTCTGCCCAGGAGAAGAGACTGGTGCTTCTTCCACATGAGGGCAGATGCCCTCAAGGCATCTCATATGGAGGGAGCCCAGGGGATGCCCAGGCTGGCAAGCTGTATTGGTTTGCTCCAAAATGGACCATTTTTGCTTGCTTTGGTCTTTTGAGCATGCCAAAGTCATGTAAGTTTGTATCTCATGGAAGAAATCTTTGTAGAAAACATAATTTTGATTTTTGAACTCCATTAACATTTGAAATTATATTATCCAATTTACTTTCTAATTGGCCAAAAGATAGAATTTCCAGTGTGAATTCAGGTAGACATTAAAGGGCTATTGTACAATGAGAATTCAGTCGTCCAAAGTTTGTGCTGTTGATGCTTTAGTGACACATGGGAGCTCTGTGAGTGGAGAGAAAAGGAAGCAAAGTAACATTCCTCATCACTGCAATTCTACCTGAACACAAAGGCCACCACAGTGATGACCAAGACCCTGGGGTTCTTGTGAAACTCAGCTCCCAAATTCTCTCTCCAGGTTCATCCTAAGTTCTCAGCATAAATGCTATTTATTTTCTGCAGCCGTGTGTTATTTTRGCACACTTCTACAAAATGATAGTACTACTGTGTTGTGGTTTTTAAACATTAAACATGTAAAGTTAAACATGAAATATCTGCTTTTGGAACAAGTGGAACAAGGCTCAATGTGGATTAGGCAGAGGGTGGCAGGAGATGGAAGAGCAACTTTTTTGAAAACTGACAATGTGGCAAGATATGTACCGGGAATTTTATTTCTGAGTGACATGCGATGGCAACTCATGTAGACACTTCAGTGGACTTGATGTTACCTCCTGTAGATATGCTAACAGTGTTACATTCTTTGATTTCCAAGGGTTCTCTGTGGCTTTGTGTGTATGTTTCCCCAAGGTCACTTGATTACCTATTTTACTGAACTGATTTAGCAGGGAATGGAATCCATTCCAACTGTTGCACGTGGATTTCCCAGCTGCCCCTAAATATATATACTTGTGAGTGGCAGAGTGGCACTAATGAAGCTTTTTGCCTTTTGTACATTTGAGATTTTTGTATATAGTGTTTGCTGCAGGCCTGTGGAATTAATTCATTGAATATAGAGGTATCAACTGCTGCATGTTCAGGCATATTATAAAACTTTAGTCTATGAAAGAATAATTATAATAATGTCCAGGTGCAATACTCTATAAGTGTATTGGTTCAAGTTACCGAAAGATAGGTGTGTTCCCAGCGGTAGGGAGGGGGGTTCTTTGTATTGTTTATTTTAAAAGATGTAAACATATGTTAAGCTATTAAGCTATATTAAGTTTCACATATAGTTCTCCTGTGCTCTGTTMTATCCTGATGGAGTCAGGAAAGAGAAAGGAATGTTTTTAATGGTGGTTTCAAAGCTTGGACAGTGACTATTTTGAGCCCTTAGAGAATGTGTCCCTATTTGCATCGTCATTGCATTGTTACTAATGACGACATTTTAGTTCTTTTGTTTTTATTTTTAAAAAACTCAGGTGTAATTATCTGTTCTTATGATGATTGCAAATATTAAATATTATGCTCTATCAGTCCTCGTGTTTGGCATACCAGTGAATTGATGAAGAACATTAGATTAACTTAATTTATCTTCGGTAACTTGACATACCGGGGCAGACTATCTTCTAGGGTGGAGTACAAGCACAGAAACATCTTCATGGTGGCATCATCTCATTTTTTAGGAAGACACGACGATTCACCTGTCATACTCATGCATAACTACTGCTCTCTTTCTTTCTTCTGCTTCTTTTATCATTATGGACTTTGGACAAGCTAGTCACCGCACTCCACAATGCCCAATGGCCTTGTCTGAGGGTTTGACAGTGTCTGCATGGCAGAGGGGGTTCAGCCCTTCCTACAGGACAACTGGCATTTTTTTTTTCTGGGAAGTCAAATAGTACATTCCACCTGGCAGCTGAAGTAGCCAGCCTGCTCCTTTCCAGCACTCAGAGCCGGGCTGGCTGGGATGCCTCAGCCTGATGAAGTTCTCACACAGGCAGGTGAAATCCAACCTAAACTAGAGAAAAAGGCTTGTGGGTTTCTTCATATTTCCTATTTCATTTTCAACAAGAGTTTGGAAGTGGACATACTGTTACATTTCTGCTAGTTCTTTATAATTCATTCTCTCCCTCCCTCTTTCTTTCTGTCTCTCTCTCTCTCCTCTCTCTCTTCTTCTCTCTCTCTCTCTCTTCTCTCTCTCCTTCCCTCCCTCCCTCTTTCTTTCTCTCTCTCTCTCCTTCTTTCTCTCAGAAAAAAAAAATGGATTGCAAAAAAAAAAAAGCCAAAAAAATATATGAAGGATAGCTGTTCTCCTATGTTTTCTCATTATGAACTTTGTGAAGTGGAAACACAATTCTTTCCTCCAAAGGTGAAAGAAAAAAAACAATGCATTCTTGCTTTAAAAGAAAAAAAAAAGGCTAAAAAAATTACCTCTTTTTAAATTATGTGCAAAATAATTCTGGCTAAATATAAAGTGTATTCAATTTAAGGGGTTTTATTTTGTATTGTGATGCTTTATTTGTACATTTTTTTCCCTTTCTGGATGTAATTTTAATATCTTGCCATTCATTAGTGTTATTTCATTGTAAACATTATTGTGCCAAATGTACTGTATTCAAAAGGATGTGAATGTGTATTGTTTCAGAACCTAATAAATACAATGATGTTAAATCTTACTTCTTGGTCCCGATAAGCACTTCTGTCTCCTTTGTCAGTGGCAAAGGGGCATCAACAAAGCTTTTTGGCTTTTGAACATTAGAGATTGCAAAATTCCCAAAGCTAGACAGGCTCATTCATAAGTGTGAAAAACCTGCAAATAACTACTTGCCCAGTCYCCTGGCCCACCCATGCTTGTCCCTGTGCCTCTGAAGCTGCCATTTAAAAGGATAAATGAGCTCATGGAGATCAGGGGTGGCTTCAGCTGCCTGGGCATGAGGGGACAGAATCCCATCTGCCTTGGAGCACCAGACATGGCCAAGGAAACTACAATTTTGTTTTCCCAAAGAAGTAAATTCTGGATATCCTGGCAACCAAAGTTCTCAGGAGCACTTGCAACCAACTCTCCTCAGGAGCACTTGCAACCAACTCTCCTCAGGACTCAGATTCTGGCTTGCTGCTCAGAACTCTGAGATCCAGGTCACTCCTAATAGGGAAATCCCCACAGGCTGGTCTGGAGGACAGACCAGACAGTGGGGCTCTTGCCTAGTTGGCATCCACCTCCCTGCCAGCCTGTATCTGCCCAGGCTGGCAACTCCCCTGCCCTCTGGGTTCCTCCTGCAAGTTCCTTTTCTACCATCCTATTCAATTCAGGTGGTCCTAGCATGCACAGCTTCCCCTCCTCTTTCTCCCCCGTAGACATCTCAGCATTTCTTTCTCTTTCTTTTTGCAGTGCTGGGGATAGAGCCGGGGCCTCAAGCATGCTAGGCAATGGCTGTACCCCTGAGCCACACCCCCAGCCTCAAAATCACTTCTTTAAAGCCCACCAAGAATTGGGCATGTCACCCTGCAGAGCCTTCCTTTCATAGTTGCTCCCCACCCCCATGTTGGCTGCCCACCTGAAGGTGTGAGCATGGATCCCAGACCCACCCCAAGAAGAATGGTGTGTTTATCACATATTTCCTCTCTGATTCCGCCAGCTGTTTTTAGGTAAGTGACCACACAAGGAGAAGCACACCTCCCACCAGTGCCTCTGTCTTATCATGAGTTTAAACAAAAATCAGGAGAAACATGGAACTCACAGAAGCGGAGAGTTACATGGTGGTTGCAGGGACAAGGGAGGAGCACAAAGCTTCAGTTACAGAGGAGGAAAAAGAAATTGGTGGGGATTTGGTTAATAATAATATTTGAAAATTGCTAAAAGAGAAGATCTTTTTGAATCACTCAAATGCAAATTTTACTTAACATCTGAAACCAATCCAGTAATAWAATAAAGTTATAAAAATCATTTTGATAGAAAAAGGCTTTTTATAAAAAATAAAAAATGCCTAATGATAAAAACCTATGACAAACTAAAACTATAACAAAACTTTTTTTATCCACTAAAGGACAACTGGGATCAAGTGGACATCATAGTTAATGTGAAGCCAGAGTGCTTTATACCTTAGTTTGTGAAAAAGGGAAAAAATATGTTTTTATGATTTCTGTTAAATATCATTTTGTGAATTTTAAACATGGCTGTAACACAACAAAGAACAAATAGCCTATGCAGATGACATCCTGCATATACAATTTTAATGAATTAGGAGAAAAGATCCTAAGTTCTCAACATACACACAGAGTGAGGCGATAGATGTTATTTAGTTTGATTTCAAAGCATCACATCGTATATAATGAATGCATATAATTTTGATTTGCCAATTATACCTTTAAAGTTGACCAAAAAAATCTCAGGAGAAATAAAAAAGGCCGTATCTCAATGGAAGAGTACTTGCCTAACATACAAGAAACCATAGGTTTGATGCGTAGCACCAGGGGTAAAAAAAGAGAAAGGGAAAGGAAAATAAATAAATAAACAAATAAAGGAGCTATTCAGAAAGGTCAGAAGACATTTCCAAACATTTCCCTGAATTAACTGTGTGTCCTGTCCAAGAGAGCTGTGGCCACTAGTAGATGGCTTGTGACCTACTTCAGGACAACCTGTGTGGCTGTGTCCTATACTGAGAAAACAGCAGATATGATCAATGTCTTACAGAAAGAATCAAGGGAAAGATTATCCCGTCTCTATTTCCTTCTACCCGAGTACCATCAACACTCGGGTTACTAGTAGCCTGAAGATCCCCTGAGAGGAGTTTGCAGACAGACTAAGCAGGTGGGGCCAGAGTTCTCAAAGTGGCAGAGGTGAAACAGAGAGTCACATTAGGAAGTCTGTTTTTTATTGTGAAGTACTCTAGTCCAGATAAAGATACTATTACATATGTAGCTCATTAGCTTTAAGCTATACCTGAAAGGCAATCAGCTGTGCTAATCAGGAATACACCTTCCAAAACCGGTCATCTGGGGGAACAGACAACATTCATGCAGAAAGCTTTACCAGTGCTTTCCCAGCACACCTGGARGTTTTGCTCTCAGCACCGAGAGGAGGAGAAAACCATTTCCTCAGGAAAAATGGTGGCTCCTTCATTAGCATAAAGKATATTAGAAAGACAGCTTTAGTGGTGTGTGAGATAAGGGGATTGGCAAAGATATTTCAAGACAAATCTCTAAATTWAAAAAAAATGGATATAGGAAACTAGAGAGCCCTCAACTTCCCTTAGTAATCAGAAATGCACATTTAAATCAAACGGCAATACTGCTTCACACCCATCAAAATGACTAAAATAACAAGGCAGACAAAAGATGTGGAATGATGAGAACTTCCAATGTTTCTGGTTTGAGTATAATAAGTCCTCCGAAAAGCATTGGGGTGTCTACCAAGGCCAAATGTGTATATGGGACTCAGCAGAAAAAGCCATCAGCTCTAAACAGGGAAATGAATTGTAGAATATTCCCCCAGGGAAACACTGTAGAGCCCTGAAAAAGAATGATTGACAAGTACACCAATGCACAACACAGATGAATCTCACAACACAACGCAGGTGAAAGAAGCCAGTCAGAGAGGAACACACACTGAAGGAGTTCACTGATGTGAAGTACATAGACAGACAACCTCCGCTGTCAGAGTCAGGCTAGGGGGTACCTCTGTCTGGAGGGAAAGTAGTGACTCAGAGCACAGAAGGGCTGCTTTCAGAGTGCTGCCTCAGTTTGGATTTTGCAGCTGGGAACTGGCAAACAGGTGGGTTCACTTTGTGATAATTCATGGAGTTTATCCTTGTAATCTGTGCAGTTTTCTGTGTTGTGTTATATTTCAGTGAAAATTTATCCCCTTTTGCGCCTTTCTCACAGCAGTAGTGAGTTATCCCTCCCGAGGGTGGGTGGTGACAAAGTGAGCCCAGCCCCTCTTGCCTTCTCTTTCCTTGAGTTTSCGYGCCCTTTCACCTTCTGCCAAGTTACATTGCCCTCACCAGATGCTACTGCCATGCCCTTGGACTTCCAGCCTTCGGAAGGTAAGCAAAAGAAATTTCTTTCCTTTATAAATGACCCCTTTAAACGTTAGTCTCAGGTAACCTGTGATGTTAATGGAAAATGGTCTAAAACATCTTTGTCCTTCCTGCCTTGGGGATGGCATGCAAGGCTGGACCTGTGAGCTACCTATGTCTCTGTGCCATCGTGGAGGTGTCTTGGTTGCCAAACTCCCACCCACAGCCCTGACCCTGAGGCTGGAATGGGGTGTGTTTCCTCTGAGTCCCTAATAAGGAAAGATGCAATGGGTGGAGCTTTCAGAATGGCCACGAGGCCCTCTGTGCTGGCTAATGAGATGGCTGTAATGGACTCAGAATATGTCCGAGAGATGGTTAGGGAGCAGCTGAGCCTCCCCTTCACTCCCGATCAAGACATACCAAAAACAAACACCTGGGGTTTGCATCACAGAATTAACATAGCCCACAGGAAGTGGGTTGGGCTTGGTTCTTTCACCTTGGGCTGATAACAGTACCTGCCTAAGCCCAATTCCACGTTGGTAAAACAGAGACAATGAGATCTACCACCTCAAAGGCCTGATGTGAAACACCAGCGTGGGGGTCTAAAGCTCCATGGCACAGCGTCTGCTCCTATTGATGATTTCCATAAGGCATACTCGTTCCCGCCGGCTTCTTGAATAGCTAAAAGAGACACCCCGCCTCAGTGTGATATTGTCAAGGACCTGGCAATTGTTAAAAATGGTTTGATGATCTTTGTAGATGGGACCATCTTTGACAGAGCCCAGTCCACCCCTTTTATAAAAGCACCCTTGTCTTCATGTGTCATGAGAGACTTTATGTTCTGGGGCCAACTCTCCCTAGGGCATCAAGAAAATGCTGCTTAAGGATTGAGATCACAGCAGCCCAAGTGCAGGCCCTACCTACCTACCTACCTGCCTGCCTCTACTTTGAAAGGCCGACTTGTGGGCACCGACTGCAGGATTCCACCTTTCATGCCTCCTACTTTAGGCTATTAATAATTGTTTAACATCATTTTGGTTTGGATCTGGAATGTCCCCCAAAGTCAGATGTTTCGAAGGCTTAGTCCCTAGTCCAGCAGTGTTCAGCGACAGGGCTTTGGAGAAGTGGTTGGATCATGAGGCTCTGGCCTCRTCAGTGGGCTCTTAATCTGCAGGCAT